CAGGGAGCCCGATGTGGGACTCGATCCCGGGACTCCAGGATCATGACCTGAGCCGAAGGCAGTCGCTTAACCAACTGAGCCACCCAGGCGTCCAACAGGTAACTTTTTATAGCGAGGAGCCATCTGTGCTTAAGTTGAGGACAGAGGACAGGGCTGACCTCAGGGCTTCGGGCTGGCTTCTGTTAGCTTCTTTCTTGTAAGGGTACCTGGGTTGGCCCTCACTAAGGCAGTCTTTTTGAGCCTAAGGAAGGTGTGCTCACAATGGAGGGTCATCCTTGCAGCAAGCATTAACGAAGAACTTCTGTGCACCAGGCTACGCTTGGGGACAGACACCAGCCTGCAAAACACAACTCCCGCCCCTACAAGATGCAAACAAAATGCAAATACACAATTACAACGCTGGATGATTGAGCAGCAAGTGCTACAGGGGCTCTTGAGTTGGGGGGGCTACTTAACTCATACTGAGGAAGGTCGGGGAAGAGTGGAAGGAGGGAGGAGAGAGCAGTGGGGCTGTTCTAGTCGGGGTGCCGCCTGTATAAAGAGAGTAAGCCCACACCGTCCTCACTCGTGATTCTTATAAGACCCCAAAGATCTCTGCCAGGTCTGAATCCCCTGCACTAGAAGGCTGATATGTGAGTGAAGCCATAAGAGAAGTTCTACTGCAATAGGGGGTGTCATGTGGTGCAGAGTATGTGCAGAGGCATTTTGTTGAATTGGGCTCATAGCTTTGTAATGTGAAGGTCATTTAAAAGTCATTTAAGACTTCCAGTTATATATGACTTCCCATTATGAGGGAATGTATGTGCCAAGGGCACGGGCGTGGATTCTTTATGGTCTCGGTGTATCCTCCAAAAATGTCTCGGGTTGACTGCGGGTCCATGTGCTGGACCAGGGTGTGGGGGGCATGAAACCGGACAAAGGAATAATGAGCAGGGGCTGAATTGTGGCAGGACTTTGGTAAGGGATTTGGACCAAGTCTGAAGAAGATGAGAGACAGTGAAAACTGAAGCAGAAGAGTTGACACGTACCAAATTTTGGCTTGAATAGAACATTCTGGCCTCTGGGTAGAAAGTCCACTTGAGTGGGGGCAAGAAATGGTGAAGACAGATTCTCAGACAGTGGAGAACCATATCCGCTGACTGAGCACTTACCAGGCACAAGCTGCCTTGGGGAGCACCTGGATTATTATTTACCTTAGAAACTCCTTGGAGTCACCACAGGTGTTCAGCAGAAAAGTGACACCGTGAGTTTTCAACATCCCTCTCCAGAAATACTGGGTCCTTGCCGGGACTATCCTGGGATTTTGAGATGGGCTGAAGGATGTGGTACTTCTTGTCCAGTGCTCCGGCGTGTGGAGTCAGTGGGGTAGTTACATGACGCTGCACCTGTAGGGTAGCTGGTCCCAAACCGATACAACGGTAAGAGGCTGGGTTGCTCGATCCAGATGGGCTGATAAGTGGAGAAAGCCAATCTGTGACGCCAAGTGCCTTGGGGAATGAGGAGCCTGAGGTTCGGGTGCTGGAGGCAGCTTTCTGTGTGGTACCCAAGGCTGTTGGCATGGGTGTGCTGGGGTCCATGAGAGCAACAGATGAGGGGCAGGTGTGACCTGTTCTGATGCCTTCCCTTCCAGATAATCAACCAGTCTGTTCTTGTTTTTGGTTTTTTTTTTAAGATTTTATTTATTTATTTATTTGAGAGAGAGCGATCACAAGCAGGGGGGAGGGGTAGAGGGAGAAGCAGACCTGAAGGCAGATGCTTAACCGACTGAGCCACCCAGGCGCCCCGGTCTGTTTCTTTTACATCTCATTGCCTTGCCTTGATTCTGGTTTTCATTTTTCTCCTGGAACATTGCAGAGGCCTTCATTTCTGGCTCTGTCCCACACACTCCAGCCAGAATTAATGTCTGAGAACGTCATTCCGATTACATAAAAAAAGTCTTTAATACTCATCATCCCTGTAGAAAACCAAGGGAGGGGGAAAAGCCATGATCTTGTTTTGCATTTATTTAATTACTAAAGTAGAAGGCAAGTTTTTCTCATTGTCCCATTTTAATTTGGCCTCAGTATGCACCATATAATAAGTACTCAAAGATATCAAGTGAATCCTTTCTAAAAGGATTAGTCTGGATAGGTTAGATGTGGGCCTCAGAGGCAGAGGGATGGACACTTACTTTGCCTGTCTGGGCCACTTCCCTTCCTGGGAGTCCAAGCTCTGAATTTTCAAGGCCTCCCTTCTCTTCCTTGACTCAGATGGTCTAAGATACTTAACCAATGGACAGCCTTCCATCGAGCGATTCCCCATCAGCTTTAAAACCTACTTCTCAGGAAACTACTTTCACCACGTTGTGCTGGGGATTTATTGCAATGGCCACTATGGCTCACTGGGCATGAGCCGAAGGGCTGAGCTGATGGACAAGCCGTTGACCTTTCGGACTCTGAGTGACCTCATCTTTGACTTTGAAGACTCCTACAAGAAGTACCTGCACACAGTGAAGAAGGTCAAGATTGGGCTGTATGTCCCCCATGAGCCTCATAGCTTTCAGCCCATTGAGTGGAAGCAGCTGGTCCTCAATGTCTCAAAGATGTTGAGGGCTGACATAAGGAAGGAGCTGGAGAAATATGCCAGGGACATGAGAATGAAGGTAGGTGCTGGGAAGGCGAATGAGTGATGCAAGAGAGTTCTATCCCCAACCTCTGTCTGTCTCCCTCTTGCCTCATGCCCCATGTTTCTGGGATAGTCAAAAGTTTCTTGAGTTTATCTTGCTTAGTAGCCATCCTATTAAAACAAAAAATAGAAATCATTTGCTATTTGACATGGACAATTAAAGTTTCTCTTTGTATAGACTACTTCAAACACTGGAGCTGAAGTCAACTTAGATGTTACAGTTAAGCGATGTCTTGGCATGTACATCCTTCTATGAAATCAAATCTAAAATGTTAGTCATTTTAGATTAAGCCTCTCATTTTGTTTTGTTGTTTTGGTCTTTATAATAGGGTGACCAGTCATTCCAGTTTGCCTGAAACATGCCCAGGACATGACATCTTTAGTACTTAAAACCAGGAAGGTTCTGGGCACACGAGGTCACCCTGCCTTATAATCTTTTGCAGAGTGGCATTATGTCTCGGCTTTGCTTTATGTATTGCAATGCATTTTGGCATAAAATTCTGACCTGGTGTCACAATAGCGAAGAATCATTCACTGTGCTGGCTTCATAGAATCTACACTCATAAGCCCCTCTTGCTTCTCCCATGTCACATCCCTGGTGACATCATGCCTGCTTGTCCTTGTCCCTCCAGGGCTTGTGGAGTCACTGAGAGAAAGCCTGTGTGTACACGGAGGACCCCAGGGGAAAGAGATTTTGCTGACCTCAGGCTTGGTTCTGTTTAGGGCCTGGGGACTTGTCCTCTTCACCCTGAGGAACCTGGAACAGAGATTCTAGAGAAATTGAAACCGCTCTGTGCCTGTGTGTGGGGTGGGAGAGTCAGAGGAAGAACAAGCTGGTTTCTGGGGCAATGTAGGTGGGACTTTGCCCTCACAAGACAGCACCCAGCACCTGGAAGCAGCCCCAGGAGGCTGAGGCATGGGGCTCTGCCTCTCTGCTGTGGAAAAGGGGGCGTGGTGTAATCATTTCAGCCTCTGGGAGGGGGTCCTTTGCTCCTTGCCAGTGCAGACTGCGCGAGGATCATCTATTAGGACTCCCCGCTGGAGGTCTTCCAGCTCGGTACCTCCTAAGCCCCGCGATCACGGCAGGCTGGGGGCAGGGATGCTGCAGGAAGACACGAGGGTGGTTTCCTTTCGGGGCCAGTGGGGTAACTCCTCACATCTCCTTCAGATCCTGAAACCTGCAAGTGCCCATTCTCCAACCCAAGTGAGAAGCCGGGGGAAGTCCCTGTCCCCCCGAAGGAGACAGGCGAGCCCCCCGAGACGGCTCGGCAGGAGAGACAAGTCGTGAGTATTTTCTCTTCCCCGGCTCGGGGCCCAACACACGCATCCGTGGGGTTGTCCTGGCCCGTGGGGACAAAGGTGTGTCCTGGGCATGGCATCTGAAGCAGACGGAGATCTCTGAGAGGACCACCCCTCGTTCAGGGGGCATCCCTTGGGGAGAAGGATCCACTATGCACATGAACCCCGTTGCTCTGCGGCCGCCGCCTGCCAGTTGTAGACTCAGATGAAGGGACAGGCTCCAGACCGCAAGAGATGAAGGATACCCCGAAATCCTGACCTCGTGGGAGGAGCAGGGGATGTAGACTTAGGAAGCCTGGGTCTGGGGCCAGCTCAGCTCCTTGTGAGCCCCATGACGTGAGGCCTGTCATGTAAGCGTCCCGGGCTTAAGTTCCCTCAGCCAGAAGATCGGATTGTTAAAACTGAGGAAACTCTCCTAAAACCCTGTAGCCCTCTGTGCCCGGCAGAAATCACAATCATTCTTTGGATCATGGCATCAGAAATACCTGCAGGCTCCTCCTCTCCCTTGCTGACTCTACCCTCCCCCATCTTAGCCCCGAGGCCAGAGATTCCACACCTACTTCTTCTTTTTTTTTTTTTTTTTTAGATTTTATTTACTTATTTGACAGAGAGACACAGTGAGAGAGGGAACACAAGCAGGGGGAGAGGGAGAAGCAGGCTTCCTGCTGAGCAGGGAACCTGATGTGGGGCTCGATCCCAGGACCCGGGGATCATGACCTGAGCCGAAGGCAGATGCTTAACAACTGAGCCACCCAGGCGCCCCCCACACCTACTTCTTAGGTCAAAATGACTCACTTGAGCACTGACAGATTGGAGAAGCTGAGGAGGCCCAAAGTAACCAGTGATAATCCACTGGCAGATATTTGGGCCATGATTACACAGCAGGAAAAAATACCACTTTTATTAATACCAGCAGCACGCCGGGTCACAGGAGGCTCTCGCCGAGCCAGGGACGGTGTGGTACAGCGCCCGGAGGTCCGGGGTGAGCCTCAGCTCAGCCGCCCCGTAGCCTTGCGGCCTGGGCAAGCCTTTCAGGAGCCGTAGTTTGCTCATTCGTCCAAGAGGGTAAAAATGCTTTCGCTGCCTCTCTCTCAAGGAGTCGTAGGATCAACTTAGAAGACATAGTGAGAGCGATTTGTTCATGGTGAACTGCCTTTAATACAAGCATGTCGTTATCGTCACATCAATCCTGTAGAGTAAGAAGGGAGAGTTTTCGTTTTCACTGTCAAAGGAAGAAACAAGAACACAAACCAGGTTTGTTATCTTATGCTGTGTTGTAGCTGGTCAGTGATGGGACTGGGGCTGGAACCCAGGTCCCCTGGCTCTGGGAAGGGGGAGGGGGACGGAAGTGTTGGTTCTGTCTTTGGAAGAACAGTGCGGGATGAAGTGGTGTCAGTTCCGAGGAAGGTTCTCGGTTTGTCCCCATTCTACTTCCCACTGCTGAACCCAGGGTGCAGAATCTACAGCCAGAGGTGTTGGCTAAGATGACTGGGGTCCGGGCTTGGAAAGGAGAAGGAGGAAGGGGGGGGTTGGGGAGCTCCTGCAGCAAGAGAAGCTGGAGAACAAGGGGGCTTCAGCATGGCTTTGTCCCTTTAGAGAGCAGGATGACTTCAGATTTTTGCAGAAGCCTCTGACCCGAATCCTGCCCCCGATGCTGACCACCACCCTTGCCTCTTGACCCTGACCTTCACCGTAACCCTAGCTCTCCCCCTCTCTGATGCAGTCATCCCGTCATTGGCGTCCCTGAACAAAGTAACAGTTGTCTCAGAGGACTGTGCGTATGTAAACCCTCCTCGGAGGGTCACGAAGCATGCAGCCAGCAACCCAGAAGTGGCAGTCTGGTCACCCAAGAAGCAGGGGAGGGGCCCTTTCCTCTGATTGGTTAGCTTTGCTGCCCCAGGAGGGCGAAGTCGTCCCTTCGGAGCTCACAGTCTGCAGCAGACATCGAGCAGTCAATAAAGCCCCGCTCTGCCCTCTAAACCAGAGTCCTGAGCGTGCCACCTGACTCACTGATGCGCGGGACGGCCGTGTGGGGTTTCGGACGAGTGCTGTCGCATCTGTTCTACTTGCATCCACTGGAACTTTGCAGTCCAAGGCCTGTGAAGTTTTTTTTTTTAATTAAAGATTTTATTTATTTATTTGAGAGAGAGAGAATGAGAGACAGAGAGCACGAGAGGGAGGAGGGTCAGAGGGAGAAGCAGACCCCCCGCCGAGCAGGGAGCCCCATGCGGGACTCGATCCCGGGACTCCAGGATCATGACCTGAGCCGAAGGCAGTCGCTTAACCGTCTGAGCCACCCAGGCGCCCGCCTGTGAAGTTTTTAACCAGAAAAAGTTCCCATGAGTGCCCAGGGATGGGAAAGCCAACACGATCTCAGACACTGGCTGTGGAGACAGAAGTCAGAGGACACGCGAGGTGCTGGTGGTCTGAGAACAGTAGGGGAAGAAGGTGCCTTGGAGCCTGGACTGTGGGATTTGAGCCGCTTCTCAGGCATCCCGGGGGAGCATCCTAGAAGCCGCTGAGAATGCAGATCTGGAGCTTGAGGAATAGAGATCATGACATCAGAACCATCTACTTAGAAGTGACAGCTGAAGCGATAGCTGGATAAGTCGGTGAGGAAGGAAGGAAGCGCTGTCAGGCCCTGAGTAGCCCGGAGGAAGAAGAACCAGAACAGGAGATGGGGGAGGAATAGGCAGAGAGGATGGATCGGGAGTGTGAAGGGGCCTGTCCGCACCTGCAGAAGCCAGCTGTGAAGATCTTAGGAGCAAAGGAAGGGGGGAAAATGAGGGAGAGTTTAAGGTCAGGTAGATGAGGACGTAGAAGTTGACAGACTGTGCATTCAGTGGCTTTTATCCTGCTGGTGAAGGAGGTGCGTCATTGGGTGGGAGTGAGGAGTAGCAGGTGGGTTATCTGCACGGGGTGGAGAAGGGGCTGCATGCAGCACAAGGGCCCAGGTGAGGATAGATAGAAGGATCCTACACCCTGTTCTCAAACTTCAGCAAGCCCGGAATCCCCAGAGGGCTTGTTTAAATAGACTTCGGGGCCCCTTTCCCAGTGTTTGTGATTCAGCAGATCTGGATGGGGCCCGAGGACCGGCTGTTCTGGCAAGTTCCTAGGTGATGCTGATGCTGCTGGTCCAGGGACCACTCTTGGAGAGCCACGGTTTGATCAGTCAGAATGGGAGAACTGATTTGGGGGTTGGCTTTAAAAAAAAACAACAGAATGTCAAGGTGCAGGCACTGGGTCTGCTGAGGGGGGCAGAGGAGGCCGAGTGTGATTCCGGGGCCCAGCTCTGCCCAGTCCTGCCTGGGCCTCTGGAGCCTGAGGTGCTGGGGTGAGGTTAGAGGGTGTGACCCCGGCCTGACCCCCATGGTTGGGCTCCACTGAAGACACGCTGGTCGGAGCCTGGCTGGTCATTCTTCTAGGGGCCAGGAAGGGAAACTGGCCATGCCCATACCCTAATCTCTGGCTGCTTTGTCACGCAGCCAAGGCAAGGGACCACACTTGCACCTACAGAGGACAGCTCTTAGACTGCCGCAGTTGTGACTGCAAAGCCACTTTCTAGGGTCGGGGCCCCACTCGCCCTCATCCCTCCTGTTGGCTGGAAGCAGGAAGTGGGCCCAGGGATGGGGAGAAAGGCAGTAGGGAGAGGGCAGTAGTCACCGGAGGGGTCAGGAAGGAAGACCTGCAGGAAGATGGGGGTTCCGTTCCACCACCGTCTTCCCTCCACGCCCCGAAGTCGATCCCAGCCCCAGCAGGCAGGCCCCAGGGGCACAGAGGTGATGGCTCGTGGTTGAATGAAAACATAAACTTTTCCAAAATGGCGAAGAGTGGCTGTGACCAGCCCCAGAACCCCGCAGCCCTTTCTCCTGGGCACGGCACTGGTTCCCAGGAGTCTCCCTCCACGAACTCTCCCTAGTGGGTCAGGTCTTAGGGATTTTCTTTTTCACAGCCGGGGCGGGGTGGCTTTGGAAGAGTTTGACCATCAAGGGAGCCCAGGTGGCTTGTGGGTTCCTGTGGACCATTTCGTATGAGCAAATCCGGGAAGACAGTGGCCATCCTTGGTAGTTGAAGCCCCTTCTTTTCCGAGTTTGGAGGTCAGGAGGGGTTTCTAGAGGTCAAACATCGTGGCTGAAGTTTGAAGTGGACTGAGGTGTTACAAGGTGTTACTAATTCCTCCTAAATCCTGCTTTCTGAGTTGCAGGGCTGGGTAGGGGATCACAGGGGCTCGAGAGGACAGAAAGGGAAGAGTTGAAAGTAAAATGAAGGGCTGCATGAGACAGGGAGGACAAGAAGGACGGAAGCACCGAGCCCCTCCTGCCCCCTCCAGATCCCAGCTTCTGCCATTGCCATAGACTAGAGCCCAGGACACCCTGGTTCCTAGAGGTGTGTCTGGAGGAGAGCCTCTTCTCAGCTTCTACCTCTGGCCTTCACCAAGCAGGCTTTTCTCCAGGTGATCTTGATTTGGCGAGGAAATGAGAAAGGGACGCATCTGGTTGTGACCCAATAACTCCACCAAAATTCTGGGCATCCTACGGTAGAATGGCTGGGACTAGGAAGGGCTTGGTGGCTCTGTCACTGTGTTATTTTTTTTCAGCATTACATAAGGCCATCAAATCATTTCTAAATGTGTTGGGTGCCATAATGAAGCTTGGGAGTGGCCCAAGGGTGGACTATTACCATAACAGGCAAGAGGCCCATCAGCTGTGGGGCCCCAGCGCCTTTCTATGCTGGGATAATTTTAGTGGCATTCTATCCCTGCCTACCTCACCCCTACAGCTGCAGCTACTTCCAGCCCTGCATTCCTCTCCATTTTTGCACTGGTCTGAATAATCCTTCTGGAAAGGAAGATCGGTGTCACTGGGTTGACAGAAGAGTCAGCGGGGTGGGAGGGCAAACAGCAAAGGCTGTACGAGGTGTCGGTTCAGGGCAAGGTTTCGAGAGGGAAACGGACTCCCCCACCCTCCACCCACCAGTCCTTTGTC